CCCCAAAACCCCAAAACCCCAAAACCCCGTCAGATGAATTCACTAAAAACTTGTAAATTAAATTAATTCAAAACAGGAGCAAATATATAAATAATTTATTCATAAAATATAATTTAGTAATAAATATGGAAAACTAAAATTTGAAGAGCAAACTTAAGATTTGTTAAGTTCAATTTATGCCTGAACATAAAAACCCAACTAAATCTATTGAAACAGTTCGAGAGATTATGAATTAGATCCAGGATGAAAAAGACATAGACCTAATATTATTGCCAGAGATGGCACTTTTAAACTATTATTTCTTAAGCAAGGAGGAGATTGAGCCGTTCCTGGAAATTAAGGATCAAGGATTGACTTACTAATTCTGCGCAGAATTGGCTAAATAGTAAGCCTAGCAAAAAATATTGGTTTATTGTATTTATTAGGTTCGATTGCTATGTATTCTCTGGCTATCAAGAAAAAGAAGATAACAATTACTACAATTCTTAACTGGGAGTAGATCCATAAGGTAATTTGATTGCTAACTACAGAAAACATAACCTTTACATCGATGATACTTATTGGGCAATTCAGGGTGACTGCTTCCAGAGTCTCTCATTAAAATTTCACAAAAGAGATAATATTGAAGTAAAAGTCTCATAGGCTATCTGTGCTGATATAGATCCCGTAGTGTACCCTGATAATAAAGACAAGGTATTTGAGTTAGGTGATTTCGTAGCGAAGGAGAATGCATAGTTAGTGTTATTTACAACTGCATGGGTATTTGACCCTGATTATGTTTTTGGGGATGATGAGAAATCTAGAAGTGACACTCATTCATACTGGATTAGGAGATTAAAACCAAAGATAGAGTCAGGAGATCTAAGACCAACATATTTTATAGCTGCAGATAGATGTGGGGAGGAAAAAGGACATCCCACAGCGGGAAGTTCTTGTGTAATTCAATTAACACCCAAAGTAGAGATTATTAATTCACTTTCAATGAAGGAGACAAACTACATAATTACTGAAATTGATATTTGATTAATTTTCTTTCATTGATATTAAAGTGATATTAGATCTACGGGGTTTTGGGGTTTTGGGGTTTTGGGGTTTTGGGG